TATATATATATATATAATGTACACGTATATATCATGTAAAATTCCATTTTACCCAAAAGTTTCCATTTTTAGATACTTTTTGTCCACAAATACATTTTACGACGAATTATTAGCTATTAATATAGCTGGTCAAACTTATCTTTGGGAGGTATTACACCACTTGGCTATACAAAGGAGTTTGTACAGTCAAATGTTGGACATTCTCATAAAGGCGATACAAATATTTGGCACAAACGACATTCACTCAAAGTCATGTAATGTATATGCATATTTCATATATACACATACGTCTACACATGCATACATAATGTGTAAGATTTAATATATGTATTTATTTTAGATGGTTTACTCATATGTTTGAGTGAATCTGATTTAATGCAATCAATGTTATTGAATTACGATTTAGCTAAATCTCACATATTATTTGTACGCAATAATCTGCGAGATTCTCACATCTTTGTACTTCAGGTGAGAAATCTTAATATTTCACTTAAGTTCACTTGGCAAAGTTACAGAGATGTTTACATCGCAAATTAAATTATTAATAAATAAGTTATATGTCTGAGAGAAAAATATAAATATCAAGTTATTTTCTCTTTACGTATATAGAATTTGCATAAAAATCAAAGAAAAATTATCTCGATCAAATTAACCAAATGTGAATACTTATGAATTAATGATTGATACATTTCATGGAATCAAAATAGAGCTTTAGATTATCGTTTGAGTATTATTGCTTAACAGCTTGAAATATTCCACAGAGATTAGTAACATTGTACGATCCAACCAATCCAGTATTACGACCTAGATTAATACAATGTAAAGCACGTCATAAAATGGTATCATACGATTTTCGATCTAATCAATGTGATTCTATAGATTCTACGGATAATATTGTGAGTATTGAGTTTCTAACGTATGGAATATTCTTAACACTAGAACCACGGGTCTAAATTAACCCAATCGCGGTAAATCTGGCTTTTTACGAGAGAGGGTTGTCACCATAAAAGTAATTAATCATGATTATTTATGAAGTCACAAAAATTTAAAGCTGCACATGCAAATGCAAATTAACTGGAAAAGAAAAATTATCGGATGAATAAAAAATGATAGAGTCGCGTGATTCTAATGTTAAGATTCGTGCATAATATGAATGATTAGTATTTAAATTATCTGGACTATTTAGAATAATGAGAAATTTTCGTAAATATACATTTTTGAAATTACTAATACCTATATGAAAAAATTATGTTTTTTTTACCAAAATCAAATGTATGCTACTTAAACAAGTTTTTTTTTTTAAATTTGATCTTTTATTACCAAGATATTTTATCATGTTTGAATTGTAAAAAATAATAGAGACAAATAATACTAGAGATAAAGATTTTAATAAGAGAAAATCAAGCGAATTTTGGAGTATTGTGCAGATTGTTTTGAACAATCGGATGTTGTTTTAACTACAAATTCTTAGCCAATTAGATTTTCTAACGTAAGCTTTGATTACTATTTCTTTTTAAAATAATTAGAGAATCTATTTTCTTTACGGAGAAACTTAATTCACTAGAAATTCCTTATTCCTTATAGTTAATTCTCGAAGAAATTAAACTTGTTTTTGTAACTTTCTCATCAAGAAAAGATTTTTTCCAAATCACACAGAGAAAATTCGTGGTAAAAAGAACATCTATTAAAAGATTTTGTATCTTTATTAATGACAAAAATATTTTATAGGATCAGTCTGATACTCTCGTGGAAGAGATAATAGAAACATTTATACTAGTATTGTTGACTCTTATTCATAAGAAACGATTATTAAATCCTAATTCCAAATTCACTTTTTTGTATGACGTACAATTGCCGGAGTTCAGCAAGGTAATTCTAAATCTCTAATTATTTACGTTCTATGTTTGACAAAGAAAAAGTTCTATTCTAGAAAAGCTTTAGTAAAACTTTTATTAAAAATTACAGAACTTGGAGCTTATAAAAATTTTGAAGAATTTTGTTAATTTCTTGTTCTATTCTATATTTCGAAACATCGTTTCAAAATCTTTAGGAATTTTTATTTTCAATGTTACGATATTAGTACACTCTACTCTAAACGTTTGTCATAAAATTTCTTGTAAAGTTAACGAAATCATGTTTGCATCAAATTGCATGACGATAAAGCATGGTACAAAACATTATCTGATTTGAATATTCAAATGTTTGTTGGAATGAGGAAGGATTATGACAGTCAGGTATAACTACAATTTTATACTTTGATGTCAACAGGAATACTCGGAAATGACTATGCATGTTGATTTTAAGAGAAGATCGTTAAGTACTGGATTTTCTCATGTTGCTCTTGTTCGAAATGGTAATATCTATACTTGGGGAAGTTCAGTGCAAGGTTGTTTAGGTATGTATATTTGTAGATTGTTTAAAACGTATTATTACATATATAAATGCTGTAAAATAAAAAATAAATATAATAGTACACGGCAGTTCAAAATACATGTAATGGTATGTATATTAAAAAAAAAAGAGAAATTTTTTTATATGGCCAATATAAGCTGATATAAGATAAAGATGCAAATGAATCTTTCGAATATAAAACTCATACATAAAATTTCATTTTCAATTATTTTCAATCTCTGAAGAGTGTGAGGAAACATGTTTTATAAAAAAAAATTTTTCTATATATACATAAGTACATCTAGAAAAATTTCTAAAAAAATTATAAAAGACGCAATTAGAATTACATGATGAAAAGACGGAGACAAGCAGCGAAAACGATTCAAAAATTATTTTCCTACTTGAGGTAGTCAATCTCAAGTATTGAATCTTATATTCTCTCATATCAAACTGTATTAATTCTGTGAATTTATATATTGACTATACTTTTTCAAGAGTTTATATAGTAACTTTGTTATATTTTTCATATAAAAGTTTTCATTCGTGTATTGTGGAAATTGAAGATGATTGAAGATTGAAACATGTTCTTGCATCACGATCTTATTAAACGGAACGCTTGTTGGCCATTTGGATTCTCCTTATTTGTTAGTCATGTTGAATTTCTTTATGATAATTTGCTTATACATATTATTAATAACTATTAGGTACTGGCTCTAGCGTTTTGCGATATGGGACACCTCATGCCATATGCTTCTTCAAAAGTATGAAGATTGAAGTTTTTAGTGTATCATGTGGGCATTGTCATACTCTGGCAGTTACTAACAATGGAATCTATGCTTGGGGATCTAGTCAATTTGGTCAGTTAGGACTTGGCAAGGTGTTGCAATGTTCAAGTCCGGAATTAGTTACTTCGTTGGCGCAAGAAATTATTGTTGATGCAGTAGCTGGACAGTATCATTCTGTAGCACTAACTGCAGATGGTAGAATATTTACATGGGGTTGGGGTGTTCACGGCCAACTGGGCCACGGCAATACCGACGAAAAAGCTACACCATCTTTGGTCAAAGCTCTGCTTGGCGTAGTCGTGTGTTGTATCAGCGCTGGATATGCGCACACTTTGGCACTATCAATAGATGGTGTTGTATATGCTTTCGGATGTAATATTCTTGGTCAATTAGGAACAGGTGATAATACCAAAAGTTCTGTCCCGATAAAAATATCGTTACCCGATAGGATAACGCTTATAAGTACTGGATACTTTCATAATGTAAGTCAGTAAACACACGTAACTTGTGTTTTATATATGTATGGTATATATTTTTTACGCAACATGATGTTACAATCATTAAAACTGCTCGTTGCTTTTCGCAACAAATCTATATTTTTAACATCATAACAACAATGATTTTATACATGTATTCCGTTCTATGTTTGCAGCTAGCTGTCAGTATTACGAACAAATTATATATATGGGGTGCGAGTCCTCAAGTTCTCAGATTGCAAGCACAAGCGCAAAAAAAGACTCGTATATCAGAGCAACAAGATGCTAATGAGAAAAGGAATAAGGCTCTAGGAGAATTGGAGAAAATACCAAGTAATGCTACAAATCTAAACGGAAAAATAAAAGAAGAATTTTTTAATAAGAAAGATAGTGTACAAACTAAGTCTTCTCACACGGAAACCTTTAATATAGAAACGCAAAAGAAATTCGAAACTAAAAACGCACATTTGAAAGACTTTGATTTGATCGAGGAGAATCAAACACATTTAAAACCATGTGTTGTTGACACAAGTTTGGTGAAAGGTCAAATTAATCAGGTTCGTATATTGTATAAGGGAACTTGAAATTTTTATATACTTGGTTTACGAAAATATTTACTAAAATATGACAATTTATGTATCTTTAAACTAAACGCGTAAAGAACATTACGTTCGTGACGTTAGTAGAAAAGAATCGTGCATACTTTGTGATGTAACTTGTGATCATTTGTGCAGATATCAGTTGGCTGTCACCATAATGCATTAATAACGAAAGATGGCTCTTTATATACATGGGGCCGTAATCTGGATGGTCAAATAGGTAACGGCACGCGACGAGAAGTATTAATTCCGACGCCTTTGTATTATAATTCAGCCTGTATTTTTGCACAAATACCTCCTAGACACAATGATTTTAAAAGAATACAAAATCAATGGGACTTGGACACTGACGCCAAATCGAATTATTCACTGGCAAATAATGGAAATGTGCCTGAGAACAATGGGAATATCAGTGATTCATCGATATACGTAGAAAATGCTGGCATAAATAAAGAGAGAATCAATCCTGTAATTAATGCTGTTGGCGTTGCTTGTGGATATGATTATACAGTCACAATACAACCAGGTTACAGAGAAGCAAGATATACATATTTGCTAACTAAATTATTCATCTTAATGTCAAGACATTTGTCACATAATTCGTTTTGAATCTCTCAAATTTAATCTAATTTAATCGAGTTATTAATTATTTGATATGATATTCTGATCTATTTAAAACACATATAATTGGATATACATGTAATTATACATCTAATTGAATCTTTTTATATTATAACCGCTAGAGCTCTTTTTTTTCTCTTACACAATATATGGTACATGGTTTTTAATAAATATACGGTTTTTGAAAAGAAACAAATGTTGCATTATAAAAATTACATAATTTCTTTAGGAGGTACGGTATTAGCTTGGGGCAATAACAGTAGAGCACAATTGGGTCGCATTCCTGCGAAAGATGCACGAGATGCCGATGATAAACTCGTATTACTGAAATCATCGAAGCGAATAGTACGACTCCCTAATGCGTTGCACGTAGCTTTGGACGTTCCTAGTCAAGTACCTGGTATTTCTACGCCAGTGATATCTTATCGATCTAATGATGTGTTTTCTCTCGCCGGACTTGTCTATCCTTTAAGCGTTATCGAAAAATCACCTGGGGAATTAACGCTTCATTATGTTCTGGAATATTTCTACAGTTTATATAACTCCGCCAATATTATGAAAAAGGTTAGTTGATTGCTTTATCTGATTATTAATAAGAAAGTGACACAACAATTAGAAGAAAAAAGAAAACGTTTTACTCAGTCAACCATTATAGTTGAATTAATATCTTGTGTAAATTATGTTTCTTCCTTCGAAGAAGGATGTTTTAAATAAAAACAAATTTGTACCTATTTCTTCCACTGAGAAGAATGCAACGTGAGATATAAAGTTCTTTTTTTTTTGCAAAATGATATTCAACATAAATTTTGTAGTCAAATATATTAAATTCGAATTTCAGTTTAAAACAAAATATAGCACATAACTGTTATTAAAACTAAGACAGATCTTTTTCTGTTGCAGTGTATTGAATTAGAGAATTATCAAGCTTGTTCTAAAATAGCAGCATTAGAAAATAATGTTTTGGCTGCTTTCACTTATCAATTGAAGATGTTACATAAATTGAGTCTTCAGTCCAAAAATTATTCGGAAATTTCACATGAAACAACAGAATCCACAATCCAGATTAGTTCACAAAATCACGTAGATGTGATGAGAGATTCTATGTCGTCTCAAAATATCCAGAAAAATACTGAATTATTCAATACACAAGTGGAGAAGAATCTCATAGAATCCTTGGAAAACAGCGTTGCTCAAAGCTGGACGAAAATTTCCACAAGTAGATCATTGAATAATTTGCAAACACTAGCACAAGAATTAAATTCTTTCGATTGTCAAGGTGGTTCAGAAGAATTATACAAAACTCGAAAAAAGGACGATTCCTCGAACGTTAATGCAGATCACTCCAACGCCGAATATAACTCTAACGAAGATAAACAGAAATGGATTAAAGATTTTATTTTTAATGAAAATGATTTGCTTCTGCAACATAAAAACGTCACTTGTAATTCTGTGCAAAATACAACTCGATCGATCTTCATGAAATCAATGTTAATTGTCAATGACAACCGGTGCGACGAAAATAAAGAGAAGACTATATTGTCGGACAAAATGTCCTCTCATTCTCAAAAGAATTACATAATTAACGAAACAATGAAAGCATTAAGGTTTTATTTGAAAAGTATCAATAATGAATCAAATACTGTGAAATGTGAAATATTGCAAAGTGCAATTGGTTTTTGGATTGAGCATAAATTACCGATACAATGTTTGGAGAATATTTTTCTCGAACATATACATATCGTTTATTACCCTCTTGGATTATTACTTTTTTGGTAAACAACAGCTTGCTGTAATTTTTTAGTCTTAAATAGCTTATGTTATTATATGATTATGTGTGGAATGTGATATATTTATTTAAAGATGCAGAGGGATTCCAAGACTCGTCAAAATTTCGAATTATTTAGCTGTAATATTAAGCATCTTCCTGAAATAGAGCCAGAAAATGTAAAATATGCTATTTATTATGTGCTACAAAAATTGTTATCTATAAGCTGCAGAAAAAATATGAACAGTTTGGGAATCCCTAATGGCATCGATCAAAATGAGATGAGACAAATCAATAACGAACATCTTCATATTTTTAATTCATTATCGTTTTCACAGTCAGGATGTGATAGAAAGATATTTAAATATAAGCAAGTACGGCGACGAAGAAAAGGACTGGTGCGCGAATAATTTATTCTCAATTAAATTCTGTCTTCAAGTATTATCAATGTTAATGCAACATATCGATGAAGGTTGTTAGCTTGATATTTTTTATCTTTCAAATTACTTTTGAAGTATAATAGATTAGCATAATAACGAAATTGTTATATTTCAGATGACATTATGCCGGAATATATTAAAATTTTCTCCTCTTTAACGGCGGACAGTTACGGAGCACCTTTAAACGGATATCCAGGTGCAAATGGAAATAATAATCCAGAAGAAATGATGGAAGGAACCGTCAATACGATACTTTCCGAAATTGAAGATTCCAAATTATTTGCACATGTCAAGGTAACATTTTCCTGAGATAGTCATCTGTGTGAGTGAGTGAGAGAGAGCTTGTTACAATAATTATGTAGTTGACACTCAATAGTTGGATTGAATTTGCATCGTATTCTACTTAACTTTTTAACGTTAAATTAAAACAGGACCCGGATGCTGTAAATCACTTGCTTACAACGGAAGAAGATAATATGATATTTACTTGCGGACATCACTTTCCAATCTCTCAATACGAAGCAGACGTTATCCCATCGTTGGAAACAGAATTACTAACATCTCCATCTTTGATTCTTCCATGTACGTCGCAGTATTTAGGAAATATGTTATCTCGCACGTCTGAACCAGAAATTATATGTCCTTTGTGTATAATTGGAGCATTAAGAGCAACAACGGCAAAGGATTATGATTAAAGGTATGCTAATCCTTTCGATGTGTTCACATATATCTAAATAAAGCCATTGGGCATGATTGGACGTTCAAATATATTTGATAATAATAATTACATAATATATAATTATGATATATATAGTTAAATAATATTATGATTAACAATTAGGACGGTTACCCATGTTTATCGCTTCCTTCGTTTATTCCGCATACCTGTACGGGCGCCCTTTCTCGCTCCAGAAACAATGCTCTGAAATTTTCCCGCGTTCTTCTTCTTCTTTCTGTAAAATGCAAATGTTCAATTTAATATATCAATAAATAGAAAATTTAAAATACATACAACAGATAGATTAAAATATCTATTATTGACCTTTTATTCAATATCGACCTCGTCAAGGGTACATATGCGTAGGGGTCTGGTTTACCCTTTTTCTTAATATCTCCCCTAGCTTTTGTCGCACGATACTCTGAACCGGGTTCACTGTCTACCTTTCTCATTTTTAACAATCGATGAATACCCGAGCCTCCGGCTGAAATTAAGGAGAAATGCAAAAAGTTGATACAAAATATTATTAGCTAGCGTAACAAATCATTCATCATTTATTATAATAATCATTACAAGGATATGTTTTCTATTATCATTGTAATATTAATTGTAATTACCGACGCTGTTATAGAAATCGCTTAGTCGCGAATTCAATTTCTCATATATCACATTTGTCAAATATATCAACTTAAATTTCTTACAGATTGTCTTTAAAGATTTTTACTTGTACAAAATAAAAAAAGACACTTTTCTTTAATGAAAAAATTTTTTTATTTACCTCGATATTTCGATGTTGACTGGCTCTTCAAGCTCATCACGTCCAGCGCACTCTCGCTATATTTACGTTTTTTGCCAGCAGTCTTTGTGGTCACTACCGAAACGTCATCTTCGACTACAGAAAATAGAAATATATATCTCTCGGTAAAAAACTTTTTTCCATGTCTAAACAAAATAATTATTACAAAACATTTACCGTAATCGTTTTCTGAATCACTCTGAAGGAAAGAAGACTTTCTCTTCTTCTTATTCCTTTCTTCTGTATCGCTATCCCTCTCATTATCATCCCTAATGATGAGACGACCATCAGGTGCAGTCGCAAAGCCACGATCCTTTGTTTTCCTTACTGGAATCTTCGGATTCGATACACCTGGTTGTGTAGCTAAAGCATACAAAACGAGATTGATTACAACAAGATATTAACATTAATTAGGAGTTTTTAAGTTAGTTTTATTCTTGATTTCTTTCTAGTTTTGTCTGTAGACAAAGGATATAGAGACAATGTATTGTATATTGAAATTCAAAATCAACTCTTGATCGACAGAGATTAAAATTCTAAAAATTTAACTTTTTTCGACCAAAGAAAAATGAGTTCGGAGAAAAAAAAATTGAGTGACCAACTTGTGATGTTTCTAGCAGCTGCGGGATCTGCAAGATCGACTATATTATCTTCACTCTCCTGAATCCAAGCGTCCTTTCTCGGCGTTCTTTTTTTGTTCCTCTTCTTTTCTAGTTCGTTTTCCGTGACTTCAAACTCCTCGTCGCTATCAGCTAATATCTCCTCTACGCTTTTAGGTCTTCTCTTGGCGTCAAATCCCTCGTCGCTATTCCGTTCCTGCAGCTTCCTCGCTCTTTCGAATTCTCGTTTCTTCTTCTTTGCGTTCTCTATCTTGTTGATATTTTTCAGTCTCTTGTGCAGGATGACGTCCGAGGCTGGTACCATACTCGATATTGGCCCTATGCCGTACTTCCTTATCATTCTGGTAAAGATGTCTCGTACTTTTTGTCGAAAGTGACGCTTGCAGTCTTCACTCATTCCCGACAGGGCGTCGACTATCCGTGACAATGTTGGTGCCATCACGACAGACGGTATCACGTTGATGTATACCTTTATGTATGACAACGCGGACTCGACTATCTCTCTCGTGGGACTCGTGAGAATCGTGCAAGTGTGTGCCAAGATTTCACTGACGATGTCCGTACCCAGAGAGCCATTATGATGATAAGTAATGGACGCGAGAGCAAGGAGACTAGCGCTAACGTACGCTTGTTCACCGCCCAAGCCTACCATTAACATATCCACGTAGTCTTTGAGATGTTCGGAATTGTTGAGAAATCTTTCAGCAATTGTATTGAGCAGCTGATACGCCGCCTCGCGACACCTCTCGTTGATATCTTTAACGCAGATCACAGCTTCCGGTACGATGGCCTCGAGGAACTTGGTCTTTTCGAGCTGCGGATGTATTCTGACGAGATGCGCCAGACATCGTAGACGCGCTCCTCTGCTCGTCTTTATCACGCTGATTGCCGACGATATCAGCGTGTTTTGAATCTGACGTCGCTGTTGGTGCAGAAACTGTTTGCAAACCTCTTTTTCGCTACCGCATATCTCCTCAAGGAAACGATAAGCTTTCTTCTGCTCTTTCCGTTTGGTATCATCCTTGAGGACCGGCACGCATCTATCATAGTACTTGCTCAATCTGTCAACATCCGTATAGCCGATCAACGCTCTCATCAGATCGTAAACGCTCTCTTTGAAGAAGTCATCCGCACCGGGCTCTTCGAGCTTGCTTTGCGCACGATCGAACAGCTCGTTCGCTAAATCGCTGCTCACGATCGTCATGTAAATCTTCATCGTGTCGAACGCGGCGAGACGCGCTCCCTCCTCATCCGTGCCGTTTGGCTTTGTCGTGTACAGGTTGAAGAGAATCGGCAGATAATTCTTGGCGAAGCGAGCAAGTTCAGCGATATCATCGGTGTTGTCTCGTTCGGTGGTTGCCTTGCTGATCAGCTTTCTCAAAGCTGCCATCGCAAATGGTCTCAGGTCCCTCCGGTCGCTGATAGCTGCACCCAACAACTTGGCGATCAATTTAAAGTTATCCTTTACGTCACTGGCGTCATTGCACAGGCTCGGCAAAATTGACCAGATTTGCGTTACTAAGCACTCGTACGTTTTCCCATCTGTGAGAGATCCCTTAGCTTTCTCCTCGCACCGCAGAGCGAGTGGCAGCAGGACATCCTTGAAGAAGGCGATGGTGCCACCAGTTATACAGTCTTTCAATAGCGGAATCATCCAACTCCGTTTAAGATTGATGGTGTTTTCGTCAATTCGAAGGGGGAGGATGTTCAACACTGCTCGAGGCCCCATAGCCCGGATTGCTGCTCCAATGGCATACTCCGCGTCACGGTTGTGCGCAAAATCGTGGGAATCTCGCAAATTTCCCAGGGTCTTGACAATGTTGACGAGTTCATGGAGCTGCAGCTTGCCGGTAACTTGAAAGAGCATGGCTATAAGGTGAAGAACATGTCGCCAGGCTCCGATATACTGATAGCTCAGAGTCTTGTGCATTATCTCGACTACGCGCCTCATAATGGGTTTGTACTTGCCGATTCGCTCCTCATTTTCGCAAAGAGGCGCTACGCACTCCTGCAGAATGATTTTGACAGTGTGTGATGCACCATTGACGATCTCCATCTTGTTTGATAGCAAGAGCTCAATGCACCTGTTGAGCATTTCCGGTATAACGTAGTAGAATATCGAAAAGACGTCGGAAGAGATTCTTGACAAGGCTAAGTGTGCCACCAGGTTGCAATGAGCCTCCTGCATGACGGCCAACCATGCCAAAGTCGGCTGTGTGTCGTTCACAGACGGTTGATAGTCATAAAGAGCTTTAATGATATTTGCATTTCGCGAGAAAGGTAACGTTGCTTCCGACGGCCTCATGACGAATAATCCATGCAACGTTTGCAAGCAGCACGACGTTATTAGTACATTGTTCAAAGTCATGATCTCCAGCAGACGTTCACAGATGGTCTTTACCCGCGATTCTGGTAACTGATGCGTTATATCCTTCAACAATGTAAGAATGTGCAGTATAGTGGTTATCTCTAGCGACGATCCTTGCTTGCAATCGTTGAGTTGCTTGAGACAGTGCTTTGCGACTTTTTCTGCAGCCGGATGATGAGTCGGTGGCTTCTCGCTCTTCATTATGTCGCTGTCCTTCAGAATGGCACATATCCCGTGCTGGGCGGATTTGCGTACCTTCGGCTTGGCGTGAGTAATAAATGACAACATAGCGTCCAGTACTTGCATTGTCGAGGAATTCACCCAAACTGCAGCCTCCTGCGCTCTCAACAATACTGAAAGACAGCCTATGCAATGTCGCAGAATAAGATGGTTCTCACTATCGACATACCGTTGTAGAATCCGAAGGAGAGCCTGACTCGTCGGGCCAAACTGCAAACTTAGTACGTTTTTGGGTACCGTTCTCAGACACATTCCGAGTAGAGACAGCGTGGCTGCTACAGAGGTGTCATCCTCCACTGTCTCCAAAGTGCTCATTAACGCAGCAAAGTACTCTGTCGAGCTTTCGTTACCACCATTTTGCTTGATAACCTCGGTGACGGCTGCCAACACTGCCAGCATCTCCTTGTGTACGATTGAGCTCGATTGAAAATGACTGAGGAACTTGTCAAACGAAAGGTTGGAACAATTGCTGTAATTAGTGGCGAACGTGTCGTACGTATTAGCCGTCTCGTATACGGTACTTTCCTCGAGCTGATTCTCGTCTATGTCGAGCTTGGCGAATTGCGGCTGAATACCCTGGATAGCGTCGTGCTTCCATAGGTCCTCCTTCGTAATGCCTGGCGTGCCGGAAAAATTCTTGAAAAACATGCCAGTCGCTTGCTCGCGATGTTTCGTAGTCTCCGGGTTGGAACTCGAACTCTGGCCTTTCGCCCATCGTTTCGCCTTCTTTCTACTTGCCAAACGAGGCGCTAACTTGCCCATCTCTTCCTTTTATCCTGCTTTTCGTTCTCTCACTTGGATCTATTTCTAACTTTTCAACCTTGCGAAGAGACTATTCAGAATCAAACAAATCGCTACCTAACCTACCAGTGTCACACGTGCTCGACATACGCATAATCACATAAAACATGAACATACTACTTCAAGGCTCGTATCGCATTAAACTACACTAAAGCAACGATTCAGGCTGGCGTCCAATGGTCACGTTCAGCAGACTCAACTGTTGTGGACCAGATCCGTGAGCACTCGCTGCTATTGGTGTATTCTTCTAGATCATCTAATAGCAGCGAGTGCTCACGGATTCGCTCCACAACAGTTGAGTCTGCTGAACGCGACCAATAAATGGAAATTTACAGCGGAACTAGACCAATCACAATTGCAGAAAAAAAAGCAGAATTGTGATTAGTCGCGCTGTTCCGTTCCGCTGTAAACTTTGCTCATGTGGGACACCAGTCTCGTATTTGGCCAGTGCCTAGTAACTTTTCACTGTTTTACCAACGAGAACATTTTATTTTAATTACTGTGATGCAAGTATGTGAATAAATCCGGATCTACAATAGGTGTTTTAAGCCTTAAGCCGTAAAAAATTGACCAACTACAATCAAATGCGAGGAGAACAATTGATTGTGATTCGTCCATTCCTTATATGGCTTAAAAATCTATTGTAGATCCGGGATAATAGTTGTAAAGCTGCTTTTCCTGCAGCTATTTAAAATTTACAAAAAAATTGTCATATATTTATCTTTAATCTTTCACACACATAAACTCGCAAACGAAGCATGCACCATTGAGGTAAAAATCTTAATATTTAAATGCAATGTGCATACTTCAATATAAGAACATAATCTGATAATGGCTAATCCTAATAATGGCTTTATTTTAAGCATTCGTACATAAAGCATAACAATCAGATACACTCTCTATTCTTCCGTTTCATTGTTCTCGCTTCGCTTTGGCTTAGGAAGCAGCTTTGCTTCCGGATACTTTTCAGTCAGAAAACTATGCAACGCTCCGTATTCTGCCATTAATTTTATCCTCGTTTTATCAAAGTTCCTCACTCGTTCCATTTTTACCAATTTTGTTTGGTACAATGGATGTTTAGTATAAAATGGAGGATATTTCTTTTTTTGCAATATTACTTTGCCACCCAAAACGTATTGAGTAAAATCGAGGTTCTCATTTGACTTCACTTCTTCTGACTTTCTAACTTTCGATGGCGAAGCGACTACTTCTGGATAATTTCCATTTTCTGATTTAAACTCAACCAAGTGTAATTGTTTTTCGTCCGCTAGTTGTTGATACGATTTCTGTAAAAAAAAAATTTCTCGTTGATTGTCGGATAGAGAATAGTGCAATGACTTTTTAACAAATGGCTTTTCGCTCATTATGCATTTTGTAACGCACAATTGTAGCGAAAAATCAATAAACTTCATTTAAAATTAACAACATATATAAAGGACTAAAAAAAAAGTTGTCATATGTACACGTTTGTACATTTTTGCCTGATTAAATAAACTTTAAATTCATCATTAATTATTCATAATTTAAAGATTATGAAAAAAAGTTTTTAAATATAAAAACAACCTGCTCGCTTTGAGATTGACAACTTCTGGTATATCTATCTAACAAATTAAAGAGAGAATGCGCTAGATGATATATTATATTGAATTAAAAGGAAGTTTTCTTCCCACTATCCCTTTATATAAACGCTGTTTATATAAAGGAGATTCTCCAGAAGAGCAGCTCATTATCAGCATGCTCCTCACTCTGATAAAGTGAGCAAGGTTCATGAAACATTGGTACTAGCTATAGATCACAATAATCCGCAAACTCTCTAGCATTATTATATCAAAAGATTTTATATCCTGTGAAATACATACCTGTTGCAATAAACCAATAAAGAAAGCTTTTATAATATGCTGTAAATTTATACAACCTTCTACTTTGGCATACATATCTTTTATACCAATCGCTTCACAGCATACTTTTATCGCACGATGGCAGACAAGTCCGTATCCTTCGTGCATTTTCTTTACATATATCTTTGTGTTTCCAAATTGTGTAAAAAAATCATGTAATACTGAAACAAAGTCACACATAACATAACATTAGAAAGAAAGAACAAGTGAAATACAAGTTTTACATGATCATATTATTTTTTACCAGTATGCTCCTTGTATCTAGAAATATACATCAATCTTTGACCCGCCCTATTCTTAGCAGTTTTTATCGCTGCTTTCTGTATAGGTGCTTTCGCTAGTGCAAATCCAGCTAGACCATTGCTATTTCCTGTTACAACAAATATACTGATGTTGCTCTTGCGTCCTAAATTACCAGTCATATGATTTACAATTTTGCTTTCCAATACCCAAGTTTCAAAGCCATCAAAGGTATCTGAAAGACAGATGCATCATTTATGTAATCTTGACATCATTAGAATTTTGTGTGTGCGTGTGTGTGTGTGTGCGTGTGCGCGCGCGCGTGCGCCGCGCCCGCGCGCCGCGTGTGTGTCAAGAAGAAAGTTGATAAGAGTATTATATATGTATATATAGGATGAATATTAATAGTTAAACTTATATATATATATATATATAGATATATATGTATCTTGTAACTTAACCATATACAGTAATTACATTAATATAATTGTATATATAGGATAATTGTATGTGGTTAGCTATAGTGAATAATAATAACAATAACCTTCTCCGATAGGATCTGGTGGTCCAAATTTTCTGCCGCCAATATGAACACTTGTCCAACCACGTTCTAAAGGTGATAATTTCATCTGCATACGTTTCATTGGACGGATCTTCCGTAGCTTGGCGAGCTTTTCTTCTCTTTCAGGATCAACAGGTAGCTTTTGCTGTTGCAAGAATTCTTTACCTCTAAACACAGGAGTATTGAGACCAGGGAATTGCATTGAAATTTTTCCTACTCCAATTTGCTGACCCTTGTTTAAATCTCTCTTTTTTGTCAAGCCTTTTGCTCTACCTCTACGTCTTCCTGCATTACTGACAGTCGTCACACCCTTCCATAATTCATCCGCAGATTCTGTGAAAGAGGAGCGTGAGAAGAGAAAACATTACAAGCATTTTTTTACCTAAAATATTACGCTCACCAAAACTTTACTCACTATTTACAAAAAACGTCGTATTCCTCGTACTATGTACCAAAGGGATGTGCGTCTTTAACAGATGTGAGTGTATGTAATCAACAGTAAATAAATTATGTGTATCTGTGAAAAAATGTTATATTAAACGTATAGTGAATAGCAAATAAATTGAGCTAATAAATTAACTTGAATAGGATATATGTAAAAAAAAATACGTATTTCATTCACATTTCGTACCATTGCTCACAGATGGAACGTTTCTCGGCGAATTTTTCACAAGTCCACAAACACGTAACAAACACGTTCGAATCATTTTCAACTTTTATTTACATTGATTCTCATTCTTGGACTTCTCGACATCAGATGGTAATAAAACCAAAGAGAAGTCTGAGTTCTGAGAGGGGCCACCTAGTATTTTTCTCTGCTGAACCAGGCTAAACGCGGCAAACGCGCAGCCAATGTATCAAACATTGGAAAATTCATCTCCTAGTTATCTCTATAAAACCAATTGTCCTATTGGATAATCGAATGTATTCCAAAACTCATGGAAAACACCCAAGTTTCGGTAAGCTTCAAACTTTCTTTTCACCGACAGTATGCGAATCTATATTGTGATATTTTATGACATCTATGTTTTGTGGCGCGTATTAATTTGTAAATATAAATAGATGATCACAAGCATAACTATTACTATATATTTTATTACGCGATAGAAATGGACCTAGATACAGCTTACATTGGTAATTGCATTTATTCCATCTGAGAATTTTGCATATGTATTGTTTGTTATTTAGAAAAGTATATTATATGTATATTACTTCTATGCGAGTACCTCTGTCTTGCATTACCTATATGAATATTCTTTTTTTTTTATACAATTTAATCAAAGTATGTTATATCTCTTTCCACACACGCACCACACCCACACGCACAAGAAGGTATAAACAAGTACAATATAATGAATTAATATTGTATGTAACCTACATTTGAAAAGAGAGAGAGAGAGGGAGAATATTCTAATTGTTAAAAGATTAGAACAAATTGGAAAATTTACTCAATTTTCATTTGAATATCTTTAAATTTGTTGCTAGAACCATTGATTCATGATTGGATGGAACATCTTCAGCAAACTATGAGAAAACGGGAGCAAGAGCAGATTACTAATGCAACTGATTTTGCCATGCCATTTGTAGGTAGGCAAGGAGAGAGTAAATATTATGTGTCACGCACAATGGATTAAGAGATATTGAAAGAAATTTGGAAAACTTGTTAAAATATCACTTTATTGCTTTATTTTAAATTATATTATAATCAATACAGCGATTCCAGCATCTACTATGAAAGCTGCTTTCAAGATAGCGGAATACTTGGAGTTAGAGCCAAATGTCAAGTATATGGCTATTGAACTGTACGACAGATTCATGTGTAAACACTTTTGGGAGCTTTTTAAGACTGAGTTTGCAAATAATCCATCTGAAACATCGTGGTTTAAAATTTGCAAGAAAACTTTTAATCAAACAAAATTAAATCTAATGTCATGTTTTCAATTGGCATGCAAAATGGATTCTCATTCCAGTACCTTAGGAATACCGCAGGTACATTGAAAGATGATACTTTGTGAAGAATTTAAGCATCATGACAAATCTTAACAGTTAAAATTTGTTTTGTTAGATTCTTAAAATTCTATATTTGATTGACAAAGAGTCTGAATATACGCGAAATATGATTTCCTCTTCGGAAATTAAAGTTTTCAAAACAGTAGGATTTACAATGCCCCTTTACACACCATTGCACTGTATCGAAATTCTTCTGGCAGCTACAGGTCTCGGAGAAACGCCAAATATGTTTAACATTTCGATAGATTTATTGGATTTAGCTTATCTAAAGGTTTAGACATTATTTAATTTATTTCTTCATACAATTGACAATTTATACAATACATATTTCAATTTAAATTGTACACATTTCCAGCATGACAGATTGTATTCACAATTTCATTCGTATTACATGCACGAAGATACTATAAATACAGAATATGTAGCCCGAAAGCTGATATCATTGAAATCAAACGTACTTTACCTAAGTGCAGCAATAGTATATTGCACAACGTTTTTTCTATGTTTGGATACAAGTGCTTTGGGAGAGCAAATTATTATAGCAAAATTGGCAGAATTATCAGATACGACCGATACTGATATTTTCAACATGGCCAATATGTTACTCTCAATGGCAACACAAGAGTAATAGACTACTGTATATTAAACAATTTTACATACGCACGCATGTGTGTATTATACTGTATAAATACACGTTATACAGATTGTGTAAATACTTTGTAAACAAAATTAAATTAATTCTTATTAATACATCGCATGCAATTATATGTACATTTTTATTTATTTATTTAGATCATTTATTATGTTGTACATAATATATAGATATATATATGTATATTATATATGTATACATATGTTGTGTGTAAAATAGACATTTGAATTACAAATGTATCCCTCTAAATGAAGCTTCAAATATACTTTTACAAAAATATTCTCAACAGCTAGCTGTGTCACACCGTGTCATGTACGTGTGTCTCTTTTGTTGGAAGGCACCCATTATATTATCAATTTCTCACATCACTTTGCTTAGAATGAGATAAATTACAGAATAGACTCTTTAGTTTTAGAGAAAATATTTTGTAAATATTCTTTATATTGAACTAAATACGTTCTTTAGAATATGAAAAAAAATATTTATTCCGACCTATCTGGAATATTTAAATTGGTCTCATTTTGACATTCTGTGTATGTTTATAGAATATTTTTTAATACATTTTTTGTAAGAATATTTTAATATTCTCAACTGTGTTTGTAGAATATTTATAGAATATTTATTGAAAGTGTGTTTGTGTTATCTGGGAAATTTGCGATTATTAACATATAAATATTAGATATAATATATTATTAAATTTATGATTTTTTATTATATAAATGCGTAAATAAATATGTGCATATTTGTAATATTATAATATCTCATATATTGCCGCAAAATTATATTATTTTTTCTAATTCAAAGAAGAAAAACCGATCAGTACCGACCGTACGTGAGAGATAACTGACGTTTCTATTGATAGGTGGCCGCGATATCGTTGACCCCAGCACCAGTCAATAGTTATATATAGGTTAGGTTAGGCTCCTTTCTCTTCACAATTACTTCAAGCTGCTCCCGTTTTGTTTCACCCCTTTCACCGTGCGCGCGTGCTCGACATCCATTCACCAATTCATCGCCACTACTACGCGTCATTACTATTTTACTATCCTCAAAAAACCAACAATCTTGTCCACGAATCGTGATAATTGCTTTGTTTGACTTTGTTCGCGGCTTCGGTTATAAAAGATTTGCGCTCATTCTACATTAAGTACAAAAGAAATTCAATATTTCTCACATTACTCTAATGACTTTTCACATTTGAAAAAAATAAATTTCAAGGACTTTATTTGTAAAATTTTTTTGCGCTGTGCCAGGGCTGAGAAATCGAAAGGAAATCATTTATAAACCCTTGTTCCACTCACACATGCGTGTGTGACATTCACAACCAGTGACAGCCGTTTCATGTAGTTTCAAGATGGAGAGAAAACAATGTCGTGACTACTGCTCTCACACAAGGGGGTTGTAAACACAGCCTGGGTCGTCGGTGAATCTGTTAGTTTTGCGTGAGATCGACAAGAACAGAAAAGTGTAATGGCGAAATCTGTGCTAAGTTCGGACACGATGCCAAAGGCCGGTCGTGTAAACGAAGGTGAGACTTTTATATTTCTCTCTTCAACACCCGCTTCTCTTGTAAGATATGAAATTCTCTGTAAGTTTGATTCTTACGCGTACGCAGCTTTCCTTCTTTTCATATTTAGATATACATGTATATATGTATAATTTAAGCGTAGGAAACGCAACAAAAGATGAAGTGAAAGATTCTGGAAGAAACGCGTCTCACGTCATATAATTAGTCACGATTAGTCATTACATTGGTATTCATAATGTGAACTTGTACGCGTGTAATTTTGCAGTATGCCGCGAATGGTTGGTACATGAAGACGGGGCATTGGCTTATCGGCTTCAAGATGAAGAAAGTATGTAAAAATTTTATGCTTATATGTTTGTCATGTGGATGTACGTATGTATGTTCTTAGGCAATGTTAGATTAGATTCGTGCAGGGACGTCCCAACTAATAGGCTGATTGAATTTCCTTAAGAAGAATAATATATACAAGTTTTCTCCATTAATTTAAATTATAAAACTAATCCAAAAAATATTCTTGTTCTACTTCTTATTATATTGATTTTATAAATTATTTGAGCTTTAGTTTTATTTTAATTTTAATCCAAAAAATTTGGCATTATGTAAAAAAGGGAAAAAAGAAAATTTAATTAAAATAACTGTACAGCTTAAAGAAGTCTCGAAATTTTCGTGTGGAGAGAGAGAGAGAGAGAGAGAGAGAGAGAGAGAGAGAGAGAGAGCGAGCAGAATATATTGAAGAGAAAGAAAAGATATAAATGTAAACGAATATAATTTTGTTAAAAATAAAAAATGTGGATAAGTTAACATTTTATACAAGATGTAAATACTAGAAGGAAGATTTCAGTGCTTTGGGTATAAGACATTTGTATCTGTTATCAATATCTATAGCAAAAGGCTTTAACATATGATTCTTTATTATGATTTATAGTTAAGGAACATTATACCGGCAACAAAACACGTAATGCACAAGTGAGAGAAGATGTGCCACGAGCCAAAGTCGAACAGGAATTAGAAGCGCTAAAATATCAATCTTATATTCAACAACAGTTAGTAATATTTGCATTTCTACAAAGATAGAGATTTTTTATATCATTGTTTTCAATATTTGTTTTGTTTTATTTTATAAAGGGAAGAGAGAGATGCGCTTGTCGCAAGACAGATTGCACTTTCTTTGGAGCGAGAAGAGAAGCAGAAAGAGCGCGAATTGCAAGAAATGATGAGATTACAGTTAAGATTGGGAGATGAAGCTATGCAGCAAGAGTTTGAAAAACGTATGCAAGAAGAAAAAGATGAGGTAATCATAATATCTTGTGGTTAATAAAACTCTTGAAAATAGTTATATAGTCTTATTTAAGAAATATATATATATATATAGTTTTATTTAAGAAAAGAAAGAAATAATTGTTTGTCAGCATGTGAAAATGTAAATGTTAAACTTCATTGTATGATAGGAGCTGGCGAAAAAGTTACAAAAAGAAGAAGAAAATCATGACGATCCGGAAGATGAGCAATTTATATTGGATCAAAAATTAGCGATGGAGGCGCAAGATGCTGAGTTGGCACGAATGCTTCAGGATAAGGAGCGTGCAAAGGCTCGTAAAGCGCGAGAAAGGGTGAAACAGAAGAAGCTAGAGCGGGAGCGTCTGCAACAACAACAGCAACAGGCAGATGAACAAGATCTCACCGAACGACCTCAAAGACCAGACAGACTGGACTTGAAGACCCTGTCAAACAAGAATCGAACCCGTTATCCTGCCAATTATTCTCATTATTCAGATCCTGAGGAAATCCATACGTTGGACAGTCCCGACAATGTGCGAGAAGTGGCAAATGTCGCAACCATTATCGATCCTACTTACAGTATGCATAGAGGTACTTTTTCGAGCAGCTCGAGCAGCACAATAAGCCCCACTTATGTTTTACCGACGCCACCACAAGAGCTAATGACAGATGATATACCGTGTTATATGCCGATTCAAGGCCAGCGACGAAATCAGGCTCAATCACCATCCAACGTCCAAGAGGAGAAACACAAGCGGCGAGTTAAAGATGGGTGTAAGCATCAGTAAGAAACATAAAGCTGAGAGAGATTAATATTTTTTATAAAAATTTTTTTTTTATTGTCATCAAACGATGACACAAATTAACAAGCAGTATTCATTTCTAAGATCTACTCATAAAGAGATGCAATTTTGTTACGTATTGAGCAATATTGATAATACATTTATTTTATATATATAGTATATGTATTTACTTTCGCAAAATGTATCAATTTTAAGATTTTATGATTATTTTTCTTTGTATTGATAGGATATATTGCCATATATTATATGATAATGTAAATCAATGTACTGCCATGCGTTACACAAAGTTTAATGTGCCTTTTGAAGGGCATTTAAAAATAATCTAAGAGCCTTAACAATTAACGAATCAGCAATAATTATTGCTGATATTCGAATGAACAGATTGTACCGTCCTCAATTTTCGTTTTACATTTTTTGATAGCTGATGTGTCTCTAATAGTATTATATATGAAGCAAGAATGGAAAATAACGCGTTACTTGCTATCCTTGTTGTAAAATATATAAAGACACTAGTATAAATATTTTTTTAACATTAATATGCTTCTCATTGTTCAAACTTTTGACATTTTTAGTACAGAGTAAAAACAAAAAAATATCTTAGACAATCAGAAAACATTATATTTTTCAACTTTATGCATTGATATAAGACGAGAAAGTCGTGCAACAGTGTACAAATATTAATCAAATACGAATTTATCATAAAATGTTAATTCATGTAAATGGATCAGATATACAGAAATTTTGTAATTTTTTAAATGCATAAATAGGTTATGACAAAATATTGAGAAATTATAAAATTTTGTTTTAAATTAAATTATTGTATTATTTAAATGATTACGTTTAAGAGAATCTCATGTTTTCATTACGCTCAATTGGCTTTTATAAAATGACCATACTGATACGTTTCCGCTATGCATATCATTCGACGCTACAAGGTTTGTCTATAACATGTTTAATTTGCTAATAAATCGCGACTATTTAAAGTTTTTTCTAAAGTTAAGGTAGAATGTAAAGAATGATAACACTGCCAAAGAATAACACTTTAATGCAGGCCTTTGAAAAAAAGTGTTGATAAGAGGAAAGGGCGTACACATTACATATTTATAAGGATCTAGATTGCAGAGTTTTACGTATTGCAATATTTTTCGAATTTTGAAATATGATATAAGCAAGCTTCAAAAATACTGAAGTATATAGTTATAACGTGTTGAAGGGAAATGTTAAAGAGAGAACGCATAATTATTACTAAATACAGTTATTACATTTCCCCTTCAAAAAGTAAAAAAAAATATCTTAAAATTACCTGTAATTTCAAAATAACACATTTATAAAACGTTTAGAATTTATTTATTTTTAATTCTCTAGCATTATAAAGGATATATATAGACTTATTGTATATGTGTGTACAATGTATTATTTACTAACTTATATAAGGACTGTGTTCAGAAGAATAAGAATCTCTATCGATAGCTTTTCAAGCAATATTCCATTAGAATATATAAATTTTTTGTAATAATTTTTTCATAATGATTATATTATTTGTGGTGAGTGGATTCTCTCGTTTGATACTATCATATATATATATACACACACATACATATATATATATGTATATGTATATATATGTGTAAGTTTCTTTTACATTTATTGTATCGATACAACTATACATGAGTATAATAAATTATTTACAAAGATATGATACACTGCTTTCTTGCCGAAAATATTATAAGAGCATGTACTATATTATATATGCAAAATATGTAGCAAAAAACCCTGTGCTACAGAATGAAAATCTAGAAATATTAACAAAAAAAAAACTGACTCTACCGACAATAAATATCTTTAAAAAATGTACATATAGATGGAATGAATACTATCGTGATGATCGAAGAACGTTGTATGTACGTACGCATAATATGAAAACATCTGTACATTTTTCAATGATAATTTACCATTAGAATATTACATTATTTGACATAACACTCATTGTAATCGTACCATCGTACACTTGCCAACTCGCGCGTGCATCGATACAAAAATAACATGATATATCTTAGATTGAATGAAACATAACTTTTTTAATGCAATTTAAACATATATAATGTAATTTGATTCACTCTTATACGGGTTTATTAATCTTTGATAAAAACAATCTTAGAATTTCTATAATTGTTGAAAAAAAAAAGGTATTTCTTAACATCACATTAGCATATATTCCAAATATCATTTTTGGAATAGTCAATCACCTCCCACCATAACTTAAAATATACTCCAATCAGAAAAAGAAAACGAGATACTTTACCTAATCGTTATTCGAAAAAATTGAGTTGTTTACAAAAAGATAAGATTATTCAAGTTCTTGATCTTGTTTCTTTCCGATTTTTGCAAACAATTGGACTTGTTTGTCACCGCTAGAATTTCAATATTAGATAAAGCAATTGTTTTTTTCATTTTCTAACTAGGATATGCTGGGATACAAGTTAAATCTTTCAATCTTTGTTTATTAGCATTCATAATTATTTATCATATCAGAGAGATTATTTTGTACTATATTTTTGCCAAAATATAGACGCTAAAACTGATCAACAATTTCTATGTATGTAACGTTTCCTAATATTTCTTTTATTTCACACGCACCGTGCTTATAAGTATTAAAAGTTAATGCTTTGCAATGAGTAATCGACTGTTTTAATTGACAGAAGCATGCGTAAAAAAAAACATGTTGCGATGATAAAAAAAATATGTGAAAGGAATTTACAAGTATTGAAAGACTTACAAATCTAAAATGTGCGTGATAGAACTCTTGGGAAATTCCAGTTTTAATCTGTTGTATTTTTGGATCTTTTAGATATAACAAATCTTGTTCGAAATCGTGATCCGAAAGAATTTTTAACTAAACGAGAGCCGGATTTGATGTTGCGAGATCGCCGGATATCGAGTCGTTGTTCTCCTTCTTGATAAGGACTTGGTATGAACGAGCTCATTTTTCTGTGAAAAATAAACATAAGATATAAATTAAAAGACTTGCATCTTTTTTCTCTGGTAAGAAGAAACGAAATAGAGACAAGTGAAGCTTTTAAAAAGTGATAAAGCACATAGCGATGAGGGTAGTTATATCGAATCAATGAATAACAACCTACATACGATGTTGCTTTGAAGAAATATTTTTATTAGATCTGGTTTGAGGCGGTGAAAACACATAATTCGGGACCTCTCCAATGTCTGTAAATGGAAGAGCATGATCTCATCAAACCGCTATTTAAAATCTGCTATTCAACAAGTGAATGGAATTATACACATGTCCCAAATTGGATAGAAATCGACTATAAGAAGTAACTTGTGTAAAAAATGGTAAAAATACAATCTTACGGAAAGAAAAGGATAATTTACACAAAGATCTCTGAAAGCAATTCTTCAAAAGAGATATTGATAAAAAATTCCGTTTATTATTACATAGAGCGTTCCTTACAACATAAGACCATTCACTTGGCAAACGGCCTAATTTTTCAAATTACCTTTCTCCAATGGCCCATCATCCGTTTTCTCCGGCAACGAGAACGAAAACAGATTGCTGGACTCTTGACTTACACTGATCTTGCGCGGTCTACCTCGTCTCGGCTTCACGGTATTCGTTTTCGTCTCTTTGATCATCGTGGCTGATGCCGTCTTTTTTTTAGGCGCTGGAGTATCTTGCCCAGTTTCAATATCTGTCTTTTCATCCCCTTCCGCTAGCTCTTCCGCTATCGGTGATACCACCGTGATACTTGTGTCAACATTTCTGACCCTCCTTTTCATATCTGTGTGTGTCACATCCGCGCTGGACGCTCTCTTCTCTCTGGCGTTATTTTGCACAGCCTTCTTCCTGGTAGATCTCGTTTCTCTCATTGACGGACTCAAAATCTCCTCCAATTCCTCCGGCACGGAGAGTACCGACGCGCTTCGAACGCGCGTCGTTAATCTACCGACAATCTCTTCTGTATCTCTCGTGGCGGAATTCCTGGATCTCTTTGACTCCTCCGGGGGCTCAGCGACCTCCGGAATGATTTCTTTAATAATACTACTGGACCTACGTCGCAGTCCTATAGGCTGTGTCTTTATCTCTTTAGGTACTGAACTGCCGCGTTTTCGAGTCGTTTTAATGTCTGGCTCCTTCGAACGCTCCTTGTCCCTCATTGATGATCTCAATGATCTGTTTGTCGTTGCACCATCCGTATCGGACGACACCGAAGACTTCCTCGTGCGTCGCAAAGACTTCATGTTCGCGTTCTCGCCTTCTTCGTCGTCACTTGCCAGTTTTACGAGCGATGTCGCGCTTCCTGACCTTGCGAAACTCCTCTCTTGCAGAGAAGGGGTGTCCGCCTGTAATTCTTTTCTCGCGGAAGAAGCAAGTCTTGTGCTTCTCCTTACTGGTAGTTCATCCTTGACGCTCTCGGAATCGCTATCCTTCGTATTGGACTGCGACATCTCCTTCGTTACAGATGTACATCTGCGGCCTCTCTTCGTTGATGATTGCGCGTCGGAGTTTCCTGATTCATAATTCTCATCCAAGCTCATCACTGAGCTCATTAGTATATCCTTTGCAAGAGAATTCGCTCTTCGGCCACGTAATTTTCCCGAGGGAGAATCCATCCTTATTTCCTTTACTGCTGAATTTGCTCTCCTCAAACGCGACGATATTCCGAAATCTGTTTTCGGCGACGAATGATCTGTTGACAAATTTAAAGAATCCTTCATCGTCGAACTTGATCTTCGTAAACGGGTGACTTTTTCCGGCTCTACTTGCCGTGCCGAGGTATCTTTTACCACCGAACCTGCTCTACGTGATCTAGTCATACGTACAGATGAAACATCCGTGATCTCAGTTTGATTCTTCTCATTTTTCGAGAAACTTTGATCACCTGACAGCTTCTCCTCGGTCGTGTCTTCAACCTTCTCTTTAGCCATCTCCTCAGATACTTCGATCTTACTATCGTCTACTTTATACAGTTTTACATAGCTCGAAAAAGTTTTGCCGGATTTATCACGGACATCGACGTTGGATTGCTCTCGGGACGATGAAGCCTCATAGAGACCTTCCTTTGGAACGCT